GCCTCTTCCAGACCCAGGGATGGGTTTGAGCTCCCCCAGCCCCGCACGGGCACCCAAAAAGTGCCCAAAAACCCCAAACCCATGGGGATGGGAGCGATGGAAGGACCCCCAGAGTGGGCTGGGATACCCCTGGACATTCCTGGTGCAAGGAGCACCCGGAGCTGCTAAAGGCACTGGAGCAGGAGCCCAGCCTGGAAAAGGGAAGATGCAGGAGGACCTTGGAGCATCTCCAGCAGCCAAAGGGGCTCTGAGGGCTCCAAAGGATTCGGGACAAGGACACGGAGAGGCACAGGTGGGAATGGTTTGAGGCTGGGAAAGGTGGGATTTTGGGAAGAAATCCCTGCAGAGAAATGTGGGTGCATCCCAAGACGTGCCACCCCAGCCACGGCACAAAACCACAGAATTTCCCTAAAAAACCCGGAGAAGAGCCTGGAACCAACAAAACCCACAAGAAACACAATCCCAGGCAGCCGTGGAGCAGAATTCCGAGATCCCTGTGGAGCCCAAGCCCACGGGTTCCCACCAGGAACAACCATGACCAAGGAGCTGCTGCAGATGGAAGAGCCAAGGGTGGAAGGATGCTTTGTCCCCAGAGAGCTGGGAAATAACCAGGGAGAGGCTGAAGGGATCCGGGAAATTCCTGTGCCAGGGAATCCTGACCCTGCTGGGAGGTGACACTGCAGGGGAAGGAGCTCCCAGGGACACCTGGGAGGGAGGGGTGCTGCCAGGCAGGTATCCCTGGCACTGCCATGGAGCCTGGCACTGGCACTGGCACTGGCACGGAGCCTGGCATGGGCACAGAGCACTGGGATGGGCACTGGCACTGCCACGGAGCCCTGGCATAGGCACTGGCACTGCCACAGAGCCCTGGCACTGCCACAGAGCCTGGCATGGGCACTGGCACTGCCATAGAGCCTGGCATGGGCACTGGCACTGCGACGGAGCCCTGGGATGGGCACAGAGCACTGGGATGGGCACTGGTACTGCCATAGAGCCCTGGCATGGGCACTGGCACTGCCACAGAGCCCTGGGATGGGCACTGGCACTGCCACGGAGCCCTGGCATAGGCACTGGCACTGCCACAGAGCCCGGGAAGGAGCTCCCAGGGACACCTGGGAGGGAGGGGTGCTGCCAGGCAGGTATCCCTGGCACTGCCATGGAGCCTGGCACTGCCACAGAGCCCTGGGATGGGCACTGGCACTGCCACGGAGCCCTGGCATAGGCACTGGCACTGCCACAGAGCCCTGGCACTGCCACAGAGCCTGGCATGGGCACTGGCACTGCCATAGAGCCTGGCATGGGCACTGGCACTGCGACGGAGCCCTGGGATGGGCACAGAGCACTGGGATGGGCACTGGCACTGCCATAGAGCCTGGCATGGGCAGTGGCACAGAGCCCTGGGATGGGCACTGGCTCTGCCACAGAGCACTGGCACTGCCATGGAGCCTGGCACTGGCACTGGCACTGCCACAGAGCCTGGCATGGGCACTGGCACTGCCACAGAGCCCTGGGATGGGCACTGGCACTGCCACAGAGCCTGGCACTGCCACAGAGCCCTGGCACTGCCACGGAGCCCTGGGATGGGCACAGAGCACTGGGATGGGCACTGGTACTGCCATAGAGCCCTGGCATGGGCACTGGCACTGCCACAGAGCCCTGGGATGGGCACTGGCACTGCCACGGAGCCCTGGCACTGCCATAGAGCCTGGCATGGGCAGTGGCACAGAGCCTGGCACGGGCACTGGTACTGCCACGGAGCCCTGGCACTGCCACGGAGCCCTGGCACTGCCATAGAGCCTGGCATGGGCAGTGGCACAGAGCCTGGCACGGGCACTGGTACTGCCACGGAGCCCTGGCACTGCCACGGAGCCCTGGCACTGCCACAGAGCCCTGGCACTGCCACAGAGCCTGGCATGGGCACTGGCACTGCCATGGAGCCCTGGCACTGCCACGGAGCCCTTGGGTGGATCCCAGCAGCTCCCAGACCTCGGAGGTGCCAAATTCCAGCCCAGCCCTGGATCCCAGCAGTGGATTCTCCACTCCTCCCCAGCAGCATCGTGCGTGCCCCAAATGCTGCCATGTGCCAGGGTCTCCCTTGGTGGGCACCCCCAATCCTTAAAATCCCTGAAATTCCCGAAAAAACCGCGGCTGATGGGCCCCAACCCCCACCCGGGAGCAGCGAGGAACAGGAGTCAAATCCTCCCACACTCCTGCCAGGAGGAGGCTGCTCCCATTCCCGTGCTCCCCCTTCCTCCTCCTCCTCCTCCTCCTCCTCCCGCCCGGCAGCGGCCGAGGAAGCTCCAAAAAAAAAAAAAAAAAAAATTAAATGGATGCTAAAATATAATTAAAAAAAAAAATGAAAAACGCTCTGGAAAAGCCAATGGATCCCAGATTCCCAAATCTCCTCCTCCTGCTCTGTTCCCGGCAATCCACCCCCTCCCCCCGCCATCACAGATCCCTTTTCCAGGCTCCGAGGGGAGGGGAAAGCGCCCAAAACGCCTCAATTTTGGGAATCTGGGCAAGGATTCTCCTCGGGAGCAGGAATCCTCATCCCTGCGAGGAGAAATCCTCTGGGATCTCCTCGGGGGAGAGGATCCAGCTTCCCAAATGCGGGCGAGGAAGGGTCCGTGCCCACCCACCCACCCCCAAAAAGGCGTTTTCATCCCGATCCCACCCAAAATCCGGGATGGGGAAGGCACCGGCGGCTCCTGCCCCGCGTTATTCCGGGGATGCCAAAGTTTCCCCGCTGGCTTTGAGCTGGGGAAGCGGCAGGAAAAGAGGGAGAATCCCGCGGGGCGGAAATCCTGCAGGAGGCCGGGAGGGGAACGGGGAAACGGCGCGGGAAGGAGCGGGAGCCGCTCCCGAACCCCGGCACGGAGCCAGGGAACAAAGGGGGGTCCCGGGGTGCGCCCCCCTAAATCCCAGCGGGGACCCCCGGCCGCCACGCCCAGCCCCGCCCCCGCGGGATTCCCCGGCGCTCCCCCCAAACCGCCGGGGCTGACCCCCAAAATCCTTGAGCGATGCTCCCCAAAATCTCTGAGCTGTGCCCCCTCAAATCTGAGCGATGCTCCCCAAAATCTGAGCTCTGCTGCCCAAAATCCCTGAGCTCTGCCCCCCCAAATCTCTGATCTGTGCCCCCCCAAATCTGAGCGATGCTCCCCAAAATCCCCGAGCTCTGCCCCCCCAAATCCCTGAGCTCTGCTCCCCAAGATCTGAGCCATGCTCCCCAAGATCCCTGAGCTCTGCTCCCCCAAAACCCTGAGCTCTGCCCCCCAAAATCTCTGATCTGTGCCCCCTCAAATCTGAGCGATGCTCCCCAAAATCTGAGCGATGCTCCCCAAAACCCCTCAGCTCTGCCCCCAAATCTGAGTTCTCCTCCCCAAAATCCCTGAGCTCTGCTCCCCCAAACTCCTGAGCTCAGCTCCCCAAAATCCCCCAGCTCTGACCCCCAAATCTGAGCTTTGCCCCCCCAAATCTGAGCGCGGCTCCCCAAAAATCCCTGAGCTCTGCTGTCCAAAAATCACTGTGCTCTGCTTCCCCAAATCTGAGCTCTGCTGACCAAAATCCCTCAGCTCTGCTCCCCAAAATCCCTGAGCTTTGCCCCCCCAAATCTAAGCGCTGACCCCAAAAATCCCTGTGCTCTGCTTCCCCAGATCTGAGCTCTGCTCCCCAAATTCCTGAGCTCTGCCCCCCCCAATCCATCTGCTTTGTGCCCCCAAAACCTCTCGGGCTCTGCTCCCGAAAATCTGAGCTCTGCCCCTCCCCAAAATCTCCGAGCTCTGCCCCCACCAACCCGTCAGGCTGCACCCCAAATCTGAGCTCTGCCCCCCCAAAATCCCTGGGCTCCACATTCCCAAATCCCCGAGCTCTGCTCCCTAAATTCCTGAGCTCCACACTCCCAAATCTCTGAGCTCTGCTCCCCCAAAATCCGAGCTCTTCCCTCCCCCATATCTGACTGCTTTGTGCCCCCAATCTTTGCGACTCTGCTCCCCAAAACTCGAGCTCTGCTCCCCAAAATCCCTGAGCTCTGCTCCCCAAAATCTCTGAGCTCTGCTCCCCAAAATCCCTGGGCTCTGCTCCCCAAATTCCCGAGCTCCACACTCCCAAATCTCTGAGCTCTGCTCCCCCAAAATCCGAGCTCTTTCCCCCCCAGATCTGTCTGTTTTGTGCCCCCAATCCTTGCGGCTCTGCTCCCCAAAATCCCTGAGCTCTGCTCCCCAAAATCCCTGGGCTCTGCTCCCCCCAAATTCCCGAGCTCTGCTCCCAGAATCCCTGAGCTCTGCTCCCCAGATCTCTGATCTCTGCTCCCCAAATCCCTGAGCTCTGCTCCCCAAAATCCCTGAGCTTTGCCCCCCCAAATCTAAGCGCTGACCCCAAAAATCCCTGTGCTCTGCTTCCCCAGATCTGAGCTCTGCTCCCCAAATTCCTGAGCTCTGCCCCCCCCAATCCCTGTGCTCTGTTCCCCCAAAACCCGT